ATCGATTGCTACATTTTGGTAACACCACGACTAATCGGTATGTATTTGTTTTTAGTATTTCTAAATTGTATTTTTTTTATTTTTTTTAAAATATATTTAATATGTATTAATTTTAGGGTCGAGTCTGCTCATTGGAAGTTAAAGCAAATGTTGGGGAACAATATTGGTGACATGGTCAAATGTTGGGAGGCTATGAATGACAACTTAAAGTTACAATTGGGTAATATTAGAGCTTCTTTTCAAAAGAGTTTTTATGAAGTTGAGCACGCCCACGTAAGTCCATTTTACAATAATTTACGTGGTTCAGTGTCTCGAGATGCATTGAGACGCATTGCTGAAGAGTTAAAACGAGTTGATTGTGTTGGAACTAACAAGGAAAAGTGTCGTTGTACTCTTAGAACAACCTACGGATTACCTTGTGCTTGTGAGTTGACAGGATATAGAATTGATGGTATACCGATACCAATAGAGGTTGTACATGTTCATTGGAGAAAACTAAGTATGGAAGTTAATTTGGACGAAGACATAGACGATGGATCGGAGGTGGATATGAGTAGTGCAATAGATGAGTTATGGAAAAGGTTTAAGTCACTGGATGTTGTTGGAAAAAGGGAATTAAAAAGTAGGGTTTTTGAACTTGCCTTCCCAACAATGACTTCTATGTGTCCACCACCTGAGAAAATAAAAACTAAAGGGGGAGTCAAGAGAAAAGACAAAAAACTAGTAGGATATGATGTTTATAGAGACCCTTCGTATCACGAATATGTTGATCAAGCATCTCAATCTCAACCATCACAAACTTCGAAGAAGACTAAATTATCACAGTCTTCACAAAAGAAATCTCAACCATCACAAGCTTCGAAGAAGATCAAATTATCACAATCTTCACAGTCATCTAAGCAGTTCATCCTTCAGTTTCCTAATCACATTCGATCCTATATTGATGATGTAGTTAATGTTGTATCAGATGGTAATTGTGGTTTTAGAGTCATTGCTTCATTGCATGGATTTGGTGAAGATGGTTGGGCAATGGTTCGTTGAGACTTGGGTTTGGAAATAATACATAATGAAAGATCAAGTTTGTATGCCAATTTATTCACTGATCAGTTAGCAGTGGTGAGAGAATCTTTGATGATAGAGGAAGTCGGTCCTCAACCACCACATAAATGGTTAACTCTACCAGATATGGGTTACGTGATAACGAATCGTTATAATGTTGTACTTGTCTGTTTAGGAATTGAATGCTGGACTTTCTTCCCTATGACAACTTCATTTTCACCGAATGTAGCAATTTACTGCATTGGTTTTGTAAACAGAAATCATTGGGTTCAGGTACTTAGTTGTTTTTAGATAATGCGATTAATCTTAAGTTTTTTTCGTTATTTTTACTTACTATTTTGATTATTTTTTTATTTAGGTAAACATGAAAGAAGGGTTTCCATTGCCACCAGTGACAGTAGATTGGAAGAAGTTTCGTTCTCCAGCAGCAACATCTTGGATGCTAGGATTTGCAGGACGTCTACAACATTGACAACAACTTACGCCTATATTACCAACGCATTATACATTATAAATTATGTTACTCGTTTTTAATTTCAAAACATGAATAATGACTTATGTTACTCGTTTTTAATTTCAAAACATGAATAATGAGTTATATTACTCATTTTTAATTTCAAAACATGAATTGTGAATCATTCAAAACATACACATAAACCAACTAGATCAAATGAGTCTAAAAGTTAACACATAAACATAAAACAATTAGGTCAAATGAGTCTAAAAGTTAACATATAATTATAAATATAAATACAAGTCACTGTGATCGAGAAATAGATAAAGCTTCGAACAAATCTGCAAACTGTGGGTCATCATCTTCAGCACCAGCCTGCTGAAGATACCGATGAATCAACGAAGACACTCGAGCCCAGCTAGGATCAGATGGTCCTTCTTCATATACAGGAACTGGCATCTTTGTTGGCATCTCTACTGGCGCATCATGATAGGATGGCGGTACCAGACGAGGATGCGAGACACGATAATATCACTCAAGATATCCATCATCTGTCTCATATGGGGTGGTGGTCGGTGCTGTCGGACGAATCACATTCTGAACGCTCTGATGGTAACTAATCCAGTCAACATCAATATCACCAGCCATCGTATGATCTAGAGGTGGATGTGGAATATACTGCCGGTATCCAAACTGACGCATACATCTGTCAGGCAAATATGGAACAACAGTGTCACCCTACCTCATATACCCCCTATATAGACATAGCTCATCAAACTGACACCATACTCTATGATTCTCGAATGGGCGCCATATGACGTCAGCAGGTGTCAGCTCGTCCAAAATAGGCCGCAAGTCATCTACCTTCAACGAACCTTGCCTATAGGATCATCTCATCGCTCGAGGGAGACCCACATTATTAGCTGGCATTCAGTTCTCTCCTTTTTTTTCCAAGCGTTGGAAAATACTCATGAATCCAACACTGTTACAAAATTAATATGGTTACTAAATTTAAAATAATTAATTATAACATAATAAACTAGATAAATAAAATATACTACATTAAAATAAATACCTGTAGGAGAGTCGGATAACCACCAAGCTGCTTACAGCTGAACATAGAAGCATCTCCGAGATATCTGTAAAGAGTAACCAATGCAGCTGCTCCCCAACTGTATCCTGGTAAGCCATCCAAGTCTATAAACAGTGACAGGTATCGTGCCTCGACAAGAGTAAACGACTTGTCCGCGAAAATAGTGGAACCCACTAACATCAGCAAATAAGCTCTAGTGGCATAATCCCATCTAGATACAGCTCTGTGCTCTACGGACAGATCATATAACCACTCCAGCTTATAGTAGGAACCCCTGCATTCACGGATTTGTTGTTGTACTACTCTCCGTGACACTCCTAAATATTGAACAGCCCACTCAACAGCAAGCGCTTCACTAATATCTTGAGGACTCTAGAAGACTCCCCTGATGGGCAAGTGAAGCAGACAAGAAACGTCATCTAGAGTAATCGTCATCTCACCAAACGGCATGTGAAATGAAGATGTCTCTAGATGCCATCTCTCTGCAAATGCGAAAACTAGGTTTGTGTCTATCTTTGTTAAACTAGTTCTCTGGAGTGAAGCTAGACCAGACCTAGATATCCAGCCCTCCATCTCTCTGGGTAGCTGTAGTGGAACCCTCTACATCAACTTCAATCCATGCCCCGCTACCTTTAACTCTTTCTTCGACCCTCTCTCCTGAAAACAATTAAAACAATTAAAAATTTGAATTCTATTGAATATTAAATAATTTTCGTTTTCTTACCTGACCGAACCATATACGGTTTGCAATATGCTGTTCGTATTTAACTAACAGATATGTATCAGACGGTCCTCCTGGATATCCAACTGGCTCGGATGCTGATGTTGATGCAGATGCATCAAAATGTTCTTCTTCAGCCATTCTCGATGACTCACCCCGTCCTACTCCATGAGGGATCCTACCATCTCTGCCTCGTGTGCGCACCACTGGAAAAAAAAAATAAATATAATTAAAAATTAAAAAAATAAAAAAAAAATAAGTAGAAAAAAAATTAAATAAGTAGAAAAAAAATTAAATAAGTAGAAAAAAAATAAATAAGTAGAAGAAAACATTTTAAAAAAAAACAATACACCGGAAGTCTTCAGGAAAGTGTTCCGGTGAAGAAAATAGTTTTTGGTCTATACCAGATGTCTTTTAAAAAAAGTTCCGATGAAGAAAATCCAATTCGCGTGTACCGGAAGTCTTTAGGAAAGAGTTCCGGAAGACAAAATCAACAAGTTTACAAACCGGAAGACATTCGATAAGTCTTCCGGTGAAGATGAAAAAAAAATTACAAACCGGATGACTTACTGGTAGAGTTCCGGTATGTATTTGATCAAAAATAGCTTCCGGATGTCTTGGTTGAAGTCTTCCGGTTTGTTAAAAGAAAAAGAGCTTCCGGATGTCTTTGTATTTGGGAATGAAGGAAAAATGAAAAATTTTCAAAATTATAGATGTTTAAACAAGGGTATTTTGGTCCAATAATTTTTAATGTAGGGGTGTGAGTATAAGTGTAGGGATATGGGGTAAAACTTCCCCAAGAAGATTAGCCCAAAATAATAGTGTCATTCGCTAATTATAAAATGTCAAACTCCAAATTATCTTTCAAGGTTTGAATTACAATTTTTAACCTGTATTTTTTCCTCACATTTTCTTTTTCCCCCCAAATGCATGTTTGACTTGACAGGCTTTTCAAATACTCCGGCTAGTTAATGAAACAGACCATTCTCATATTGAACTTTTTTTTTGGACAGAAACTCAGCTTTAACTAATGTGTTTATTCTGTTCTATTTCCAAAAACAAAACAAAACTCAGAGAAGGTGAATTTTAAAGAGAATGTAAATTATTCTAACAATAATATTGAACTTCCTTCTGCGTCGTTTTCTTTCTATTTAAAGTTAAAAAGTATTCAAAGAAATCCTTAAAATTACTACAAAAAAATAATTTTCAAGCTAAACACTATAGTAACAAGGCAGGTCAATACTTCACACCTCACACAACATTTTCTTTCAATGTTGCCTCGCATATAGATTGTAGAGAGAAAAAAAACACGACAGTAAATTTATTTCAAACTCAATTGTTCTAGAGATATGGCACCAAAGATGCAGGAATGCTAAAAATGTTAGATAAACAGAATATGGGATGCTCATCGAATAACACCCTTCTCATTTTGACAATCAGCAATAACTGTTCAACACTTGCTAGAGCAGATTTGAATATCCAAGCCGGAAACTCCCCTCACTCTCTGTCTCTCTTGCCCTTCCACCTATTACCTGCATAATAGCACAGACAAGTATTCAATGACAAACAACTATTCTTCACAATCTGAAATGGCATCAAAGTAGAGGGAGTAGAGAGAACACCCACTTGGGAACATCATCAACAATTCAAATTGACATATCTGGTTTTCCAAGTTATGGTTGTCTGTCAGGTGTTTGAACCCGTCTTCTAACACGGCGCCTCCTATTATCTGAGCCTCCATCGGAAGACTCATTTGTTGTATCATCTCTATCTCTAGTAGCAGATCCAGATTCTGCCTCGTAATTTTCCCCCCACAGTCTCGAAGGTCTCCTAATCCTCATTTGAAGTCTAGTTCCTGTTGTACCTCTAGATACAGATGAAGGTTGAAGAATGAGGAAGAATACAGCTAGCAAACCACCATCATCTATGGGAGCGAGCCCGAGGCCATCATCAACCCTGTTTTCCCCAAAGGAATTTTGAAGTGTGCTAAGCAGGTCACCAAGATCCCTCTGCCGCTCCAACCTTCTCCAGTTACGCTGACGCTCTGGGTCTACCGCAGATGGGCGCTCAAGAGGATGATCAACTCTTGCATGCTTTCTGAGATCTGTATATGTACCAGTAAAGTTGCAACTCTCGCAAGAACAACTCCTGGATTTTTCATTCATGAAATGACGAGCCCCATCCATTACCTTCCACTCTTTTATTTGTCCTCTACACAAAGGGCATACTAGCTTTGATTTTGTCTCGTCTTCACAGGACAAGGATTGCATTGTAACAAATCCCTCGCTGGTTTCTTCTTGTACATCAACAATATGAGCTTCAGTGCTGTCTTGAGGTTGATCTTGAGGTGAGTCAGAGTTTGAAATTTCACTTTCTACCAGAGGAATGGTTGGTGGCGAGGGCTCTGCAAATGACTTGCAGAACTGATCCAGACAGTTTGAGTGGCGATAGCTAGTGTTGCACATGTATGGGCGGCATCCCTTCTCGTGGGATGAACATATGAGGAGAACTGCATTGTGAGGGTGCTCCATGCAGACTGGACACCTAGCTTCTTCCCATTCTTTTATATTTTCTTCGGACTCTAAAGGAGTTTTAGATGTAGATCTTCTAACACGACTTGAGCTGCTTGGATAAGGTGATGTTCTACTACAATCTTGTGACAAGGACCTTTCTTTTCTCTCCTTAGGCATTTTAAATGTTCTAAAGTGAATTGAGTGACCTAGAAGCTGCGTACAGGTAGCACCAACATCAAAAATTGAGCAAAACTGAATTTGGCATCAACTATTTTTCTTTAAAAGTGATGTTTCACGCATCAAACATCAATGCCAAAATAAAAACCCCTCTAATAAGACATCCAAATGCAGAACATTTAATAATTAACATGTCATGAAGATTCAACAAAGTTTTACATTAGCCATGATCACTCAACATGAAAAATCATTTAACAAATTTCATTTTGAAAACTATAGGAACAGTGATCATTTAATATAACACCATGAGGGGTTAGTATCTAAAAACTACAGGAACAGTAACCATTTAAGATAACTCCATGAGGGGTTAGTTTCTGAAAAACATCTAGCTTAGCATAGAAAACCTTCAAGATATATATGAATAAGCAATACTCCAAAAAAAGCTCAAGCTTTTATTTTGAAGAATAATGAACAGTTTCATAGCATTCGTCAGCAAGGCTAAATGCAGAAGTTTATAAAAGGATAACTTACTACATTGGTTAATATAATTCAGCCCCACTATGCAATATGTAAAGTCGGCGTGTTGCAGAAAATGTGATATATCAGCACTAGTACAAAGTGTTGACAACTAATATAAAGTAACTTCAAAAAATCAACTCTATATTCAACCTGAATTGCAAATTACTCTTCAACGATACATATCAGACTTAGTCAAAACAGGCAATTAAAGGGATATTTCATCTTCAAAATTCACCAAAAACAAAACAAATCACGAAATGAGCTTAATCAACAGTACACATAATCTGGTGTCCATATCTAACAAAGTTCAAAATTCGATCTTTCAAATGAACCCAGCAGAAGCAGAACAATCCATTTCATAAACAGTTCATCAGCAGAATAAACAGCAACAAAACCTTCCACTTCAAGTATATACAAGCTTAAACAAAATCATAATAACAAAGAAACTCAAAACAGCAAAATTAGGTATAAAACTAAAAAGCATAGAAAACCCCCATTTGGAGCATAAGAAAGAGTTCAGATTCATTCCCAGCAACTAATTACATCACAGAACATGAAGAAACTCCGATCCGTGTCAAGGGGAAAAAATTCATACAAAATTAGGGCTCGGGTGAAGAAGGGCGAAGAAGCAATTGAAAAGATGAGAGAGATTAGGGATTTTATTGGTTACCGAAATTGAAATGAAACCTTCGGATCAGAGTTGGTTGATGCGATTCAGCTCCTCCCCGGAGTAGAAGGATTGGGGTGAGGTGCCGCCGTTGCTCCTTGAGCTAGAGAGAGAAAGAAAGGGGAGAGAGAGAAAGCGAAACGAAAAATGTGGAAGATATAACAATGCGAGAAGAAATGTATGCTTTGGTGTGCTATCAGCATATCATACAATACAATAATTGTTTAATGTACTAATAATTTAATTTATAAAAATTTATGTAGTACAGACAGAGAGTGTGAATGCTGACATGGATGATGGATGTAAGGAATTAGGAAATTTCATAGTAACACAAGAGAAATTAACTTTAAATTTCCATTTTAAATTTTATTTTTATTTGTTTTTAATATCATTTTAATTATTAATAATATTCTTATTTTATGCATTCTAATACAAAACAAAATTTAAAAAATTAAATGAATTTGATTCAAATTTAAATTTATAATAATTTAATTATAACTTTTGTCTATTTACCAAAATTAATTCTCTATTTTCAAATTAAATAGTTAGTATTTATTTCATGTTTTTTACTTAAAATTGTTAATTTATTCATTTTTAAATAATGTGCCATTTGTGAAATTTGACAAATCATGTATAAAAGTATTTTGTAAAATATCATAAATAAATAAATAATATAATTTAAAAAACTGGCACTTCATCTAGTGTAAAAAAGATCAAAATTATTCAATTTTAAAATAGAAAAAATAATTTCATAATTAGATAAAATAAAAGATAAAAATATAATTTAATCTTTATAATATTAAATTTGTTTAACATTTTTATATTTTTTATTTACATTTTATTTTAGATAGAGTAACGGGTGGTCAAGATAAAAAAAAAGTATTTTCTTATCCTTATTATAATAGAACTAATAACCTTTATTATAATAATTCAATTTTCAAATTCACTGTGTAAACTAAATACATGAATTATATAAAAGTGTCGGAAAAAGTATATAATGATTTTTTTTGTCTAATTTATAAGAGACATTTTACTTTTTAAATATATTGAATAATTAATTTATTTGGTTTATATATAATTCAAATACAGTGATAGTGATTATTCAATATATCTAAAAAGTAAGTAATTTTTCATAAATAAAACATTTTATCTTATCTCATTTTGAGGTGTGATGAAGCAATTTGATAGGATAAGATCTATCGTGTACTGTTTTTTAATTATAATTTTTTTATTTTGAATTGAACTAGAAATTAACATAACAAAAAATAAACAAGAAAAATACTTTACTAATTTATTTGTTCAGGCTAATTAAAGGTTCATTAAGATCGGTCAAATTTATATCTTCAATCTAGCAAAAACAACTCCATTTACCAACGCACAGGTGGGCATCCACTTTTAGATACTGCATATGAACATGATTACCTCCCTTGACTGTTCATTACGTTTAACAATTATTTGCGCTCCATTATCGATGTGCACATCAAACAATTAATAAAAATATGGTAAAATATGGTTATCATGACTATATCTTTTTTTTTTATTGAAATAAAAAATCTTTGATTTATTTTAAAGAGAAATAAGTAAAATAAAATAATAAACAACTAGAGATATTATTAAAAGTTATGGTTAAAGGTGTTTTGATCCTTTGCGATATTGGTGTGTTCTAATTCGTGTAACTTCTTTTTGAGATTTTATATTTGTTGCATAAGATTCTTTTGTTTAACATTCTCATGACATCTGATTGAGAGAATTTGATTATCTAATATGTTGTGTTTATATTTTTTAAGTTTTTGATTTTTTTTTTTGCACATGTAATATTTTTAAAACTTGTTTTGTAAAATCAAAATTAAAACTTTAAGATATTTGAGATTTCACTTTCACTCTTCAAGTAACGACATTGTAAAGAGAGTTATGAACCAAAACAAAGGAAAAGTATGGGGTCATGTTCAAATTAGTCTTCCTTCAATGTTTATTTTAGCAACTCTGAAGGTGAATGTATGTTTTGATCTCCTTTATCGTTTTTCGATATTGGTTGTGGTCTATATGCATCCCTTTATCATTTTCCTTTCATGTATTTTTTGTTTAATGTGGTTTGTTTGTGCGGTTAGTTTATTGTGGTTTGTTTTGTATATTTATGTATGGAGTAAAAGATGAGGATATTATGAGACATATATGACCCAAACTTTAAATTGTTTTTTTCTTTTTAGAAAAGTAAATATCCTTAATTTTTTTCATCAGGTGGTGAGTTTGTAAGGGATGAAACCCAACTTTACAAAGGTGGGGTTCAAATATTGTTGTTGGACTAGATAATGAGAAATTGGTTATTTTTAAAGTAGTCACGATCATCAATGGTTGGGGTAATGAGGAAACATGTTTTAGGATTTGAAGGTAAATTGATTTGATTGGTGATATATTTGTGCAAGTGACTATGGATGATCATACTTTTGATATTGTTGTACATGTCCTGAAAAACAAAGTTGATGAAAATATATATGGTATGCACAGTGAAAATGATATTTGTGTGAAAGTAGTTGAACCCTAGGGACTTGATTCAAATAAAAGTAATAATAAGCAAGAAATAGAGGTAGCATGAAGTGTTTATAGTAGTGAAATTGATGATAAATGAGTTGTGAGATGTTGGATCAAACTCTAATATGGTCGAATGGTAACTTCTGGTTCGACATGAATTAAGTATGAGGTCGAAGTCTGTTCGCATGCTACTGTCGAAGATAATGTGTGTTGTAGTCGAAGTTTGTTCTAACATGCATTAGTTAATATTGCTAGGTTGTTAGCATATTAGATTGGACCTTCCTTGTAAGCCCAAGTGTTTAAGTTAACTTGTACCCTAAGTTAGCTTGTAATGGATAATTGTTAAAAAGCCCATTAGGTTAGTGTGTTATTTTTCTTATAAATAGGATGCTAGTTTCTCAATCTTGGCATAAGGAAAAATAAGAAGATAAAATCCTAGTATCAAGAGAGAGAGGTTATTTTGTTATTCTTGTATACTTGTAATCTTGTTCAAAGAGAAAGGAAAGAATAACTGTTTATAACTAATCCTTGTTGTTCCTTGTTGTTTTACCTTACTTTCTTTGTTAACCCTAACCCTTGTGTGTTTCTTGATCATAAAGAAACTATTTTATACTTTGTTTAAAGACATCCGATTCACAACAAATTGGTGCGATGAGCGTGGAGAAGATGCCTTCAATAAAGTATGAGATCGAAAAGTTCACCAGAGTGAACGACTTTGGTCTGTGGCACTTGAAGATGAAAGCCCTACTGGTTCAGCAGGATTGTTTGGAAGCGTTGAAGGGTAAGGCATCCATAGACACTGCGTTAACGACAAAAGAAAAGATGGGCATGATCGAGAAAGCCCACAACGCAATATTGTTGAGCCTTGGTGATAAGGTTTTTCGACAGGCATCAAAGGAGACTACAACATCGGGATTATGGGTGAAACTTAAAATTTTGTACGTGACCAAATCTCTGGTGAATCGACTCTACTTTAAGCAAGCTTTGTATTCATTCAAGATGAGTGAAGACAAAGTGTTGGCTGAGCAGTTGGATGTGTTCAACAAGCTGATTCTTGATCTTGAAAATATTGATGTGAAGATCGATAATGAAGATCAAGCATTGTTGCTGCTGTGTGCTTTGCCCAAAACACATGCCCGCTTCAAAGAAACTCTCTTGTATGGAAGGGAGTCTCTGACCTTTGAAGAGGTTCAATCAGTCGTGTATTCTAAGGACTTGAACAAACGAAAGGAGCATAAACCTTCGACGGTGGGCGAAGGTTTGACCGTTAAGGGAAAATTCGTGC